AGATTCACTCATCTCCATTCATTCGTTCATTCGACAAATATCTAAGAGGCTACTTTTGCCAGTACTCTGTAGGCACCAGGGTACAATGGTAGACAAAGATGATGAAGACTCAGCTCTTCTGGAGCTGACTTTCTTACAGAGCACAGACACTAGACAAGTAAAGGAGTGAATGAGATAATTTCTGAAAGAGGTGGTAAGTGCAGTGATGTGGCGTGTTGCAGAGAGCCCGAGGGGTCAGTGGAAGGGAGTGGGGACACTTTAGAGAGAGTGGTCAGAGGCCTCTCTCAGAGGAGACGTCTGAGCTGAAGTTCGAGAAGTTGTCCATCAATCCAAGGTCTGGGGGAAGAGCCTTCCAGAAGCTTTGCTGGCCATGGCAGGTGTGGAGAGTTTAGTGTAGGTGCAAGGGGAAGCTATTTTTGAAATGATCGTTCTGGCTGCAATGGGAGAATGGATTATAGGAGGCCAGGATGGAAGCAGAATTTAGGGACAGGATGATGAGTTAGCCATGGGCGATCACAGTGGTGGTGGGGCCAGAGACTGTAAGTAGGGACAGAGCCGAGAGGACTCGGTAAGTGTGGGACACAGTGGGAGGTGAGAGAAAGCAGATTGTTTGGTACTAGTCCTACACTTTTTAGTTGAGCAGTTGGGTTGGTGGTGGCACCTTTTAGTGAAAATAGGAGACAGGGTAGGATTTGGGAAGAAAATCAAGAGTTCTGTTTTGGCTATAAATTTCAGATGTCTGGGGAGATTTCAGGGGAGAGGTCAGGCCAGAGACACAGTCTGGTACCTGAATATATAACATATATGTGGTGTGTAAAGCTGGGGACTAGACAAAATCATGCAGGCAGAAGGTGTGGGTAAAGAGATGAGAAGTAGGCTGAACCAACAGTCAGGTAGAGAAATAGGAGAAAGTAGCAAAGTAATCACAACAAGCATGGCAGACCCAGCTTGAGGGACGAAAACTGGAAGTGGTATCACAGAAACCCAGAGAAGAAAAGTTGCTTTGGGCCAACTGGGTCAAAAGCAGCTGAGAGATCAAGTAGGAAGAAAATGGAAAAATGAGTAGCTGGAGGGGAACTTGGGGTCAAGGAGCGCTATGCATCCTTAAACGCTATCATTTAATTTAATCGGGGGGGGATGTCTTTTAAATCTCTTTTAATCCATAGATTAAAGTCCCCAAGGAGGGGCTCTTTTTTTTTTTTTTTTTTAAGATGGGAGATACAGAACATATTTCCATGTCACCGGAGATGATCCTCTAGAGGGAAAGAGAGAGGCTCTGTTTATGAGACGGCTTTATGACTGTGCTTCAGAGCAGAAGCAGAAGCGGAAGAGTTGGCTGCGGGAGGAGCAGTGACACTCAGATGAGATGGGAAGAGCGCCGAGAACGTGGGTAACAGGCCAGGCAGGCAGGTAGATTCGGAGGCGCAGAGGTGCAGTTCTCAATGAGAAAAGAGGTGAAGCCGCCACCGGGGTCCGGCACCCTGGCCCCACGCTGCAAGGGAAAGAGTCACTTAGCCTCCCAAGCCTCTCCACCCCGTTGTCACGGCACTCTCCCTGAGAACTGCACTTTCCCTGTAGCCTTCCCAGGGGAGCGATGTCAACTACCCCCTCCCTGCGTGGGAGGTGGACTGCGCCCTCCTTCCCTCCTCCTTCTCAACTCTTCCTTTTTCTTCTCAGTACAAACACAACCACCGCTCCCCCTCGCCACCACATCTAAGACCTGTCAGACCTTCCCTGCCCTGCCTTTGGAGGATTTTCAGTGGGAGCTGAACGCCGCATTCGCTCCCTGAACTTCCACTCTGCCGAGGTGTGGAATAGCTCCCCCTAGTGGACAACCGCACATATACACGCACTATGTTCCCAGGTACACCAAGACCCTTTTTGAAGTCACTGGTGAAAAAGAATAATTCCTTCATTCAACAGACATTTCTTGAGCACCGGTTATGAGTCTGGCCTGTTTGAAATTACTTTGAGGCTCACAGTTTCACTATTATCACAGGAGCAGACATCAAACCAAAAGAGCAGTGGGAAAGCTTCACGCTTTTCTGCCTCTGCCAGGCTTCAGGGTGTATGGGCAGAACTCCCTCCCTCTCTCCCTCCACAAACATGCAACAAGGACCTACCCTAGGCCAGAGACTGCTCTGAGGATATAAGGACAGAAGTGGCAAGAAGTGCACTGAAACTGGGGCGTCTGCTGGGTGCAGTTAAGCCTCCGACTCTTGGTTTCGGGATCGCAAGGTTGTGAGATCGAGCCCCTCCCCCCCCAGACTTTGCATTCAGCGCAGAGTCTGCTTCAGATTCGTTCCCCTTCCTCATCCAGCCCCTCTGCTTCTCCCCCTGCTTGCACTCTCTTTCAAATAAGTAAATAAAATCTTAAAAAAAAAAAAAAAAGAAGTGCCTGAAACTGTGCAGTGCATTCTGGAAATGACTGCTCCAGGGCTGGGGGTACAGGCAGGGAGGAGGGTGCAGGGTGGTACAAAGGAAGGAGGGCTGACATCTGGGCAGGGCTGGAAGGCAGGTGAGGGAAGACCTTGGAGAAGAAAGGCATAAGCTAAGAAGTGATGATGAGTAGGAGTGGTCACGTGAGCCCGGTGGAGGTGGTGGCAGGGAGGGAGGCTCAGTGCCACCCAGTAGTCTTTGCGGGCTGCTTGATTACATTTCCTAACATGAGTGCGCTGCCAGGTCATCCCCTCACCCTTGCTCCTATGCAGCGACAATTCTCTGCTGCTGGGACTGACCTTTACTCAGTTCCCTCCACTACCCTACCCCTCTCTGGCAACTCCTCCGCAGCTAGGAGACTCTCCTCCCACTGGTAATTGATTTTAACACAGCATTACTTCTCACCATACAAGGTCCATCTTCCCAAGCACACCTGCAGTGGTCAAACAAATACAAAAATGGCAATGCTACTGCAGGAAAAACGGACCGACATTCAATTTCAACACTGCCTCTGAAAAACAATCGATATTTGAAGCCACCCTCTGGACCTTTGCTGGTCTTCCCCAGGGTCTCACGTGCATACCTGAACCCTGGTCCCTGCCTGCTCCTCTTGCCCCTCCCAGACTTCCTGGATCTGGGGCTCCACCTGCCTGCCATCTTGGACACAGGGATCCTAATATTTGCTGACATCCACACTTTTCCTGCTTAATGGGCCTCTGTGTCCCCGCCTCTTCAGCCCTGCCCTTTCCCCTTATGCTACCTCATTCTCCACACCCAGGCACTTCCTAGTCCTGTCCATTCCCTCTTGCCAGGGCCTCTATATTTGGCTAGATGGGGGCATTCTTACTTTGTTATCTGAACAACCCAAAAGGCCTCCCAACTGGCCTCAAGCCTCGAGTCTCCCTGTGGTTCTGACCTACTGCAGATACCACCACCCCGATAACCTCCTGGACAAAGTGCCCACTATTCCAGCTGGCATTCAAGCTACTCCTCGATCTGGTCCTAGCCTACCTTTCTAGGTCTTCCTGGGCTGAGACCTCTACCAAACTTCCACTAAATGATCTACCTGTCATTCCTCAGATACATCTTGTACTTCTGTATGCCCGGACCTTCGTTTATACCATTCCCCTTTCCAGAATGCCCTCCTCTGCTCCTTTCCACTTTCCCAAATCCTTCCCATTCTCCAAGGTCAGTTCAAACACCACCTTCTCAGCAAACCCTTCTTCGCTCCCTCCTGTTGAAAACAGAATCTTCCTTCTCTGAACCACTATAGGAACATGGAAGGAAACAACATCTTATAAACACCTGCCATGGGCTCATGTTAAAAGCATACGCTTTGGGGGCGCCTGGGTGGTACAGTCTGTTAAGCATCTAGTTGGTTTTGGCTCAGGTCCTGATTTCAGGGCTGTGATCTCAGGGTCATGAGAGCTGAGCATGGAGTCCTCTTAAGACTCTTTCTCCCTCTCCCTCTCCCCTCCCTTCCCACCATGGGCATGCATGCACTCCCTCTCTTTCTCAAATAAATAAATAAATAAATAAATCTTTTCTTTTTTTTTAAAAGGACCACTTTAGGGCAACCCTCTTGGGTCCCCTCCCTCTTTGGGAGCTTTGCACTATCATTCAATAAACTTTGCTTTGCTGCCCACAAAATAAATAAATAAATAAAAATAATGAAAAAAATAAATAAAAAAAGGATCACTTTAAAAAAATAAAAGCATATGCTTTGGATTCAGATCTGGTTTGACTCTGGTTAGCTGCATAACCTTGGGAAGCATACTTAATATCTCTGTGCTTCAATGCTTTAGCTTGAAAAACATAAAAATACTTACCTCCACCGTTCGTTCATTTGAGCATTTGAATACCTAATATGTGTCAGGCTCTGTACTCTTGTGGTTCTTTTGAGAATTAAATGAAATGATGCATGGAAAGTAGCTGGCACATAGGAGGACTGAATACATGCAAACTTATCAATACTACCACTGTTCAGTTTAGTTTCTTAGAAGTGGAGTCCTCTGGGTGATTTCTGGTTAGAGGGGAAGTACCACATAAGACTGGGAACCAGAGGGCGCCTGGATGGCTCAGTTGGTTAAGCGTCTGCCTTTGGCTTAGGTCATGATCCCAGGGTCCTGGGATTGAGTCCGGAGTCAGGCTCCCTGCTCAGCGCCTGCTCAGGGGAGAGTCTGCTTCTCCCTCTGCCCCTCCCCACTGCTCGTGCACTCTCTCTCTCTCTCTCTCTCTCTACCTCCCTCCCTTTTGCAAAAATAAAAATATATAAAATCTTAAAAAAAAAAAAAAGACTGGGAACCAGCCAGCTCTGGACCCAGGTGGATCATAGCCAATGTTAAAGTACCACGTGGCTGATTCGAAGTACAGAAAGTGACTGTCATTTTCTGAATAACTTGCCAATCAGACCGAACCAGCATCTACCATCTGGCAAGGCTCTCCAGGATACCCAACAAGGTTCTTTGTGACTAAGAGAAAACTGTTAGAGCTAGTCTGTCTAGTTCTCACGGTCAGCTTCTGTAATGTGTGAGCAGGAACAGACCCAGCTGGCCCCCTACCTTCATACTGGACTTCCAGGTGCATTGTGCGCAGCACCTTCAGCACGCACTCCACGATGCTGGGGTGGGTAGTTCCAATGATCGACTGACAAGACAACAGGACAAGGGGGTTACTTAAGATCTAGTACACCTGTAAGAAATGAAAAGCAGGCTTGCAAACAGCTACGCAGCCTGGCCGAATGGGGAGAGCGAGGGTAGTGGTGAGTCACTGGGCCTTGGCCGCTGCACTGTATGAGTACATTTCTCCAGAGGAGGGCCAGATATGGCAGCCAAGGATCCGAAAGACAGTCTGCTGAGCTTGCCACTGACCCCTCTAGCTCAGGAGGCATTCAGTTGGGGTGAGCCGGCCACCTGCTAGAGGTGCAGGCACAAGCCAGCTACCTTGCTGGGGGGAGGGTGGGCACCGGCTGGGGAGAGTTGAACTCATCCAGGATCCTAAACCTTCTCTCCCTCAGGGACCTCAAGCGACTGGGGAACCCGTCTTTTCTACCTCTTCAACCTTTATCAGGGCATCGGTTCCTGTCCTTTAGCGTGAAACATCCTCAAGCTCACCCATTTGCACACAATTGCCCTTCGGCTATTGCTCTTTTTCTCCCTCTACACCTAAGCCTCCCAGGAGCCCAGGGGAAGCCACTTCATCCTCGTTCATCCTTTGACAGGCTGCGGCAATTTAACTTCTCCTGCCATGGGGCCGACATTCCCCCAAACTTTTCACACGGGAAACATCTTTCTGTTCTACCTACACTTAGCCTCTCTGTGGTATTTGACCCAGCCGGTCATGTTCTCCTTGTTGAAAATCTTTTCCCTTCACTTTTACAGGCGTTTTCCCCCTTGTTTTCCTTTAACAGCTTCCATTGCTCTTTTTCAAAGAGGCAGAGTGGTATATGGAATGACTAAGGACTCTGGAGTTAAGGAGAGTTGGATTTCAGTGCCTGCTTAGGACATACCTCTTCCTGGGACGCCTGGGTGGCTCAGTCGTTAAGTGTCTGCCTTCGGCTCAGGTCATGATCCCGGGGTCCTGGGATCGAGTCCCACATCGGGCTCCTTGCTCAGTGAGGAGCCTGCTTCTCCCTCTCCCTCTACTGCTCCCCCTGCTTGTGCGCTCTCTCTCTCTCTCTCTCTGACAAATAAATAAATAAAAATCTTAAAAAAATAAAAGGACATACCTCTTCCTTAGGGTGTGGCCCTGAGTAAGTCACCGGACACCCCTCAAGGCTCAGTTACCTCATCTTTAAAGTGTCTGCCTCCGGAGTGCCTGGGTGGCTCAGTCAAGCATCTGCCTTTGGCTCAGGTCATGATCCCAGGGTCCTGGGATCGAACCCCATATCGGGCTCCCTGCTCAGCAGAGAGTCTGGTTCTCCCTTTCTCTCTCCCTCTGCCTCTCCCATGCTCATGCTCTCTCTCTCTCTCAAATAAAAAAAAAATCTTTAAAAAAAAATAAAATGTCTGCCTCCATCAGCTATTGTGAAGACTAAAAGAGATCATGGAAATAAACCCCTGGCACAGTGCCCAGCAGGTAGGAGGCACTTAATAAATGGAAACCAGAGGGACGCCTGGGTGGCTCAGTTGTTAAGC